ATCAAAATCTAAGACTTAAATATGGAACTTAAGCTATTTGGGGACTATAAAATACGTAGGATATTTTATAGATAAACAGATCTGAACACCAAAAGGTTAGATATTATAAATAATTTTTAATAAATGACTATATTTTATATGCAGACAGTGAAACCACGGTCATGATATTTCCTTCTTTTCAGCTTCAAAGAAACACAACTGTCACTTTGCAGATACCAGCCAGAAACAGTTGATGGACTATTTTTGTGCGAGAATAAAGAAAGAGGGAAGGACTGGAATAAGCGAGGTTTTAAAAGGCATCAATAAAAATAGCTCTAAAAACACTGTCAGCTTTCCCATGCCAGAATAATTACCATTCTGTGCTTGGATTAATCTGATTTAATTGAAGTCAGTATTGTTAGTAATGCGAGTAAGGATTACTCACACACAGTTTCAGGAACAGATCCCAGTTCTGACTTCCAGGTCTTCACATCAAAAGGCTCTTCTACTACTTAGCAATGCTACTAGAAAGAGTTTTACTACGTGACCGATACCTACACCAAAATTTGCTACTGCTCTCATGAATAAAAGTAACGCAATGCTAATTACCCAAAAAATTCAGTTTCGAATCCACCGTGCAACAAGACGGGTCTGGATGATACTTGGCTAGCTTTATCCAGTCATAAAGAACAACAAGTTGCAAGAGAATTAATACGTTTTAAAATAATTCTACATAATTGTAGTATAGTACAGTAAATGATTTCAACATTCCTCAAATTAAATATTTCATCAATGTTGCCCCACAACATCAATGAAGAGTCAAGTGAAGCTGAAAACACACAAAGAGGTGAGAAAATACTCATAAATGATGAAAAGGAAAGAGATGGGGAAAGACAAAGAGAATCACTCCAAAAGAGCTTGTTGAGCTGATAGCTTGTTGGGATGATGGTTTAGCTGGCTAAATGTAAAAGAGGAAACATTCTCCTTAAAGCCATCCATTCCAATTCAGAAATGTCAGTAACAGTTTTCAGTAATAGATGTAGGAGACGTACAGAAATTCTGGGAAAAGGGTAAATGTTATACGGCACACTGCTGAAAGTCACAAGTGGTAACACTCTGCTGGGCTGCATGCTACTAAAAACGACAAAGTGGCTTCTCAAGTAGTAGGAGTTCAGACTGAAGAAAACCAGACATTACACACGGCGGCAAGGCAAACAGCACGCAGTACATAAAGGGCAGTAGCCATGGTTTTAAAAAAAACCATGGACAACCATCACATACGAGATTCATGAGACTGCAGCAAGAACTAACACCAAAAAGTGTTTGGGGGGTAGAGGAGGAGGGAAATATAGTGTTATCCTATTTCCTATCTTCTTACTACATGAAGATGTTCTAAAGAAAGGGAAGCATAAAAAATTCGTCTCAAAATTCCACGTCTTGACAAAAACAATGCCACTACCTGATTTCTCAAGAGGCCTCAAGTGCTTCAGCAGTTTCTACTGCCGTGGGCTTAGGAAAGAGCAAGTCAAGACCTTTCTGAAGGAGGCCATGCTTCCAGTAGAAGGCAGGCACAAACATGGTGGCGACTGAAGAATGTGGAGTGCTTCATCCATACCACTTACATGGCCTGTGTGTTCACAGCCACATCCTAGGCAGCTGCCGCACCTCCTCTGCCCATCACCTCCAAGAGGAAAGTGAAGGAAGACACCGGGAAAGCCTGAACATTCGAGGGAAGCAATACAAGGAAAAGGGAGAGGAAAGACAAATGGGGGAAAAAAATGATGGGAGGGACCAAGGAAAGTAGGGTTTGAGATATGAGGCAAGAGCTCAAGAGAAGGAAAAAAAATGTGAATAGAAGGTAGAAAAGTAAAATCCCTGGTTGTGGAAGAGGAAGGAAAATATACGAATTAAATAATAGTAGTGAAAAAGCCACCAGCCATTACCAACATCGCAGCCCACTCTGACCTTATATACTGCAAAACCCACCCATATGGAGAGCACTGGAGCCTCCAGCAAGTGTGAACTCTGCTCTTCTTTCCACCACTTTAACTTCTACGTATCCCAACATATGAGGCCAAGTTAGCTGTCCTGCCAAAACCAATGAGATTTCACCAGCCTAGAGCCCTCAGCACCAACAGGGTATCCTATCCAGGCAAAAGGTTTGCTTTTCCATTTCCTTGGGGGTTTTGTTTAGTTGTTTTGATTTTGTTATTAATGATTCCAGCTTGAGCCTACACTTCCCGTCGTAGCTAAACAAACTACCAGAACTTATACACTGACAACTGAGATGCAAAACATTCTTACAGAAGCTGAAGAAAACACTCACATAAGTATAAAAGAACTAGTTTTGTTTGGTTGTTTTTTTTACAACTATTGCTGTTTATTTTCAGTCTCTCACACACTTGGATCAATGGAATTGATCCAGAATACACATCTACAAAAGCAGTTTTTCATATGCTAAGTGAAATAAATTAATGGACGTGCATTTGTAAAAACTATTTAGCTTTAGACTCCCCTTTTCAGATAAGCATGACTTCCCTTTTGCAGAAAGCTAGCAAGGAATGGAAGAGCAGGAGGCTTTTGCCAATCTGATGCTCTCCTGAGAGAGCAGGAAAGAGCCTGTGTTAGGCTCCACATCTTCTTTCTGTTCTAAACCACAAAATCATTTCTCCTTTCCCAAGTAAGGGAGGTGGGGGAGAATTCCCACTAAAAAAAAAAACCCACCTCCTTTTAATTATTCAACAAGGTGAAGCACACTGGCACTAGGAGCCCCCAGAAACGGTTCTCGTTTTGAGGAACACTAGGTAGCCAGCATGTTTAGGAGTTGAAAATGAGCACAAAGCCCTGCCCTATTACAAACCAGCTGGATCTCTCAGCTGGAAAATAGGAGCAGTAGTTATCAGACGGATTATGTGGCAATGGATTATGTAGTATCTGTCTAAAGGAGAAGCTGAGGCTTCCTGGACATGTTGTTTTCATGCTTCAGTAGATAATGTGTAGCGATGAGCAAAGACTTCATCTCCAAAAAGTCAACTCTACAGATAATGACTTCTAGTAAAGGAACAGAGTCCTCTACATGGTCTCAACACAGATCTCTAGTGGAACCACTAAGTTAACTCAAAAGGCATTAAAACAGTTTTTCACTTTACCCTTAGAGAATTAAGCATCACATTAAAATCTTCAGTAAGAGATGTCAAGACTAAGGCTCAATTTGTTGCTCCTAAATCAAAGATTATCAACATGATCCATATATTTCTTGTATGTATACACCAGAAACTCAAAAAGTTAGAAAACCCTCAGTTGCACCTCGGAGGTACTGCAGTTTAAACTATACAAACTCATCTTTCCCAGCAAGCCAGAAGAGATGTACAAACACGCACAGTTTTATAAATTTGATCATTTACAATGGCCTGCTTTAAAAATAAGAAATTTAAAAGAAAATCCAAAAGACCCACTAAGTTGTGGAAGCAGAGTGGTCCTCCTTTAGGTCATTAGCAGGGCAGAAACCTGTTGACTGTCAAGACAGGTATCTACTGCTCAAATGCAGTTAAACTTCTGAACTCGGTGGGAAAAAATTCACCTTCAGGATCTACTTACAGCCCCCAAAATTGACCTGACTCAATGCCAAGAGAATGTCTTGAGACTGTTAGCTTAGCCAAATATGGGAACACTTTCAAGAGGATCAAAGTCCCACCTCTAACCCCAGGGGAATGGTACTGCCCAATTTTAAGCCCTTGACCCAGAGCAGGTTGCTGCCACAACTTTTATGCGCTTACATGGAAGCAACATGAATTTGTGTTTGCTTTCAGAAAATCAAATCCATAGTCTTAAATTTGCTTCAGGAATCTTTTGACAAAGAAACAAAAAGATGAGCCTGCAGCAGGCATCAGGTACAAGGAATTTCAGGTTGAAATTTTAAACACTGTCTGGAAGTCGTAAGCAGTGGAAAACAGGCTCTCTGCCCCTAGACATGGTTAGTCATAAGCATCGCTGACTTCACGCTTCACAATACAT